GTCCGACTTACAGTAGACCATCGTCAATCACTCCCACAAATTGCAGGAACGCGAGAGGAAAGATGTTACACATCAAAAAGTATTTTTATGAACAGAAGTGCATACAATTGAACGACGATGAAACGGTTACCGGTGAGTAATCGTAAAATACTTGCGTTGGGCCTGTTTCCCTCCAAAATCTTTGTAGCCAGTTAACAAAAAGCTGGCGGCGGACTGGCGGCGCGGCGCCGCAGCTCGAGCGGCGACTCCCCGCTCGCGGCCCGCGCGGCACCTGACGCTAGCACGCAGACCTACCTATGCATAAACATCGCGTGCGGCGTGCGGTGCTTGGTCCGCAGGCGCGGCGCGCGCGCGGCTGGCGGCGGTCTGGCGGCGCGGCGCCGCAGCTTGAGCGGCAACTCCCCGCTCGCGGCCCGCGCGGCACCTGACGCTAGCACGCAGACCTACCTATGCATAAACATCGCGTGCGGCGTGCGGTGCTTGGTCCGCAGGCGCGGCGCGCGCGCGGCTGGCGGCGGTCTGGCGGCGCGGCGCCGCAGCTTGAGCGGCAACTCCCCGCTCGCGGCCCGCGCGGCACCTGACGCTAGCACGCAGACCTACCTATGCATAAACATCGCGTGCGGCGTGCGGTGCTTGGTCCGCAGGCGCGGCGCGCGCGCGGCTGGCGGCGGTCTGGCGGCGCGGCGCCGCAGCTTGAGCGGCAACTCCCCGCTCGCGGCCCGCGCGGCACCTGACGCTAGCACGCAGACCTACCTATGCATAAACATCGCGTGCGGCGTGCGGTGCTTGGTCCGCAGGCGCGGCGCGCGCGCGGCTGGCGGCGGTCTGGCGGCGCGGCGCCGCAGCTTGAGCGGCAACTCCCCGCTCGCGGCCCGCGCGGCACCTGACGCTAGCACGCAGACCTACCTATGCATAAACATCGCGTGCGGCGTGCGGTGCTTGGTCCGCAGGCGCGGCGCGCGCGCGGCTGGCGGCGGTCTGGCGGCGCGGCGCCGCAGCTTGAGCGGCAACTCCCCGCTCGCGGCCCGCGCGGCACCTGACGCTAGCACGCAGACCTACCTATGCATAAACATCGCGTGCGGCGTGCGGTGCTTGGTCCGCAGGCGCGGCGCGCGCGCGGCTGGCGGCGGTCTGGCGGCGCGGCGCCGCAGCTTGAGCGGCAACTCCCCGCTCGCGGCCCGCGCGGCACCTGACGCTAGCACGCAGACCTACCTATGCATAAACATCGCGTGCGGCGTGCGGTGCTTGGTCCGCAGGCGCGGCGCGCGCGCGGCTGGCGGCGGTCTGGCGGCGCGGCGCCGCAGCTTGAGCGGCAACTCCCCGCTCGCGGCCCGCGCGGCACCTGACGCTAGCACGCAGACCTACCTATGCATAAACATCGCGTGCGGCGTGCGGTGCTTGGTCCGCAGGCGCGGCGCGCGCGCGGCTGGCGGCGGTCTGGCGGCGCGGCGCCGCAGCTTGAGCGGCAACTCCCCGCTCGCGGCCCGCGCGGCACCTGACGCTAGCACGCAGACCTACCTATGCATAAACATCGCGTGCGGCGTGCGGTGCTTGGTCCGCAGGCGCGGCGCGCGCGCGGCTGGCGGCGGTCTGGCGGCGCGGCGCCGCAGCTTGAGCGGCAACTCCCCGCTCGCGGCCCGCGCGGCACACAACGCTAGCACGCTGGCCCCGCCCCAACCTACTACGCATCTGTTGCCCACCTGTATTACATAACATCATCATCGACCGTTACATTATAGACGTATCCCCTGCTGGAGCAAAGGTCTGAACCTATAGATCGAATAGGGAGTGCGGGCCGGAACCCGGCAAAGGTGAGAATTGGGGAGTGCTAACGACTGCAAACGCAGCCGTCGTCAAAAGGAACTCGATATAAAAAAATTTTGGTCAACTATCCACCGACCGACCACTGCGAAAGTTGTTTAAAAATCGCCTGTCACAACTGGGAGTCACACTTCTGAAATTTAGAAAAAAAATACATAATGTATTTAACTATAACCATCGAAAGGATAATGCCCTTGTGACAATGCCGCGGGACGCCCTATATACCTGGGGCAGGTCATCGACCCCGGCCCTATATACCTGCACGAGCTCGTCCCCGGCGTGCACCTGCCCCGAGGCGTGCGCCGGGGAGCCGAAGCGGATGTCGGCCAGCTGGTGGTGCCCGCAGAAGGACGGCAGCACCTCGAAGCCCAGCGGCTTGCCCCCCTGCCGCAGCGTCACCGACTCTAGCGATGCCGGCTGCAGCACCATCGGCTCCGTCACCTCCTGCGTAAAGAGAAGTGCGAAATAAAGGGTTAATATACTCCAAAATCTTCTAAAAGGTTTTATTATTGAAGTTATACTTCTTTAGGCGCGTTATAAAAAAATGATGAGAGTGAAATTTTAAGATGCGCGCGCATCACTGTAACACAAAAAATTAACAGCATGAAGTTAGTCGCTTTAGCGACCAACTTCATTCTGTTACTTTTGTGTTTATCGCACATTAAGAAAAATCTACCAACAAAATAGAAATAGAATCTCTATTTAGTGGGTGCTAACGACTGCATTGTGAAGGCCTATCAAAAGTATTTATTAATCTGGAACAACGGAACCAAAGCGCGATTCAGGAGACTACAGCGCCATCTCTTGACCATTGGTGTAGTAGAACCAAAAACCACATCTTTATTTTTCAATGTTACTTTTATGTTATTATTGTAATAAAGTAACAGTTATAGGTATTCATATTTATAATATTTATCCACATGTTTCTAGTTTGTATATTCGGAATACGTGTTTGAGTTTCATACAAGTGCAAATCACATATGTTCTAATAAATTATATTCAGTAGCCATTTTAATTGAATATTTTGATTATTTATTTATTTTTTCAAATTAAAACTGAACTTTATTGACTGTGTCCTTTTCCAGACTTTTTATTAATTTATTGTAATTAATTATTTGCATGCAATCAAAAACTAATTTTAAACGATGCCAAAGAAGGATAACTTCTCACGCGCCTACATAAGTACACGCACCCATTTTTCTAAATATGAATCCCATGAGCTTATTAGGTTTTGAAACAATATAGTCATAGTGGAATATCACTTTAATCGGAAAGGAGCTATACCTTGACAATATCTCGCTGCGCGCACGTGGCGGCCTCCAGCAGCTGCGGCGCCGCGTGTATAGCTGCGTGTGTATATATATACCTGCACGATGTAGTCGGCAGCGGTCTCGCTGCGCGCACGTGGCGGCCTCCAGCAGCTGCGGCGCCGCGTGTATAGCTGCGTGTGTATATATATACCTGCACGATGTAGTCGGCAGCGGTCTCGCTGCGCGCACGTGGCGGCCTCCAGCAGCTGCGGCGCCGCGTGTATAGCTGCGTGTGTATATATATACCTGCACGATGTAGTCGGCAGCGGTCTCGCTGCGCGCACGTGGCGGCCTCCAGCAGCTGCGGCGCCGCGTGTATAGCTGCGTGTGTATATATATACCTGCACGATGTAGTCGGCAGCGGTCTCGCTGCGCGCACGTGGCGGCCTCCAGCAGCTGCGGCGCCGCGTGTATAGCTGCGTGTGTATATATATACCTGCACGATGTAGTCGGCAGCGGTCTCGCTGCGCGCACGTGGCGGCCTCCAGCAGCTGCGGCGCCGCGTGTATAGCTGCGTGTGTATATATATACCTGCACGATGTAGTCGGCAGCGGTCTCGCTGCGCGCACGTGGCGGCCTCCAGCAGCTGCGGCGCCGCGTGTATAGCTGCGTGTGTATATATATACCTGCACGATGTAGTCGGCAGCGCGCGCGGCTTGCGCGGCGGCGTCGGCGACGGCGCGCGCGGGCTGGTGCGCGAAGCGGTCTCGCTGCGCGCACGTGGCGGCCTCCAGCGACAGCTGCAGCAGCTGCGCGCGCCGCTCCGCCACGTTCCAAGTCGACCCGCCCTCCACTGCCCATCTGCACCACACAAACACTCGATCATCATCGACCTATCGATATCCCCCTTCGGTAAAGCAGGCCTTCCCGGTGAATGGAATAGGGAGCCCTGAGCCATGAATCGGGACCGACTACGCTAGCCCGATGCGAATTGGTGGATGCTAACGACTAAGGATACGACCGAAGAGTTGCACCCGAGAGCTGAACGTTCCTTCCGAAGCACGGAGAATCTCAAGCTCAAAAGTGTTTGGGCAACCGTCCAATGACCGACTACAGCTAAAATTCTTTAACTTTCACGTTCGAAAGCCAAATATGCTAACCACCTGCGCCATAGAGCTCTTCGAACCACCTGTAGAGTGCGATTCATACGCAATCATAGAGAATGGGTCGAACGATATCTGAATCAAGTTGACCACTCTCCAAAGAGACAAAGCGATATCATGTAACGTAATGGACAGCAAAAAAGCTCTATGGGCAGTACTAATTACAGCTGTTAGAACTTTTTATAATTGGCTCAGGAATACTAGAACCGTTCCCTCTATCCATGGATTCAAGCTTAATGCCAACTGTGAAGTTAGCGCAAGTCATGTCACAGTAAATGAAATGTGGAATGTTATAGACGTGTGCGAGATGTCAGTGCAATCAAACCTGCACGTAACTGTGTCCACTGCTAACTTTATAACCACCATAAAATTTGGATCGCATCATACTCGTCCCGCTGCCGCGTCAAGAGAAAACCGAATACATCAAATCATCATCATCATCAATCATAAATAAATAAATAAACAAAATACCCTCGTTGGTAATCGTGAACTTTCTCCTCTCGGTGAACAATTTACTATTCTCTGATTGCAGCCGCCTAAGAACAAACGCACATCGAGCTACTAGACGAGTCCACAAGCTGTAGTCGAGTATTTAAATACATTTTGTATAGTATCGGCGCAAACTAAGCCACTAGCAGCGGCGATTCGGGGCTGCGTCTAGGGGCTCGACTGAGCCAAGGAGGGCCTCGTTAAGGGGCCGAATGTAATATGTAGACGAGAATCAGTTTACCGCCGGACTGGATTGCTGGAGTACCTGGACACTCACCTGTCGAGCCAGCAGACGAGCGGCTTGACGGCGCGCACGGTGTGCGCCACGTCGGCCAGCGTCTGCGTGTCGAGCCGCACGTCGGGCGCGCGCTGCAGGGCGCGGGACAGCGCGCGCGCCACGCCCGTCGCCGCGCACGACACGCGCGCCGCCAGCTGCTGCACGCACTCGCGGCGCGCCTCATATTGCTGCATCGTGCCGGATAGATTAACACATTATAACGCTCCGGCCGCGCTGAACCTTTTCCGTTTTAACCACAAGTCGGACCTAGCAATAGTCACGTTTCAAAACACAGTCAGAAATGTGACTATTGCTCGGTTAGATACATGGTGTAGAAAAGCGGCAACACTGCCCGAGTGTAAACATAGCTCTCGATTCTTTTTATTCTAAATTGTATTAACAAGTTTGAAAGTCATCTAAAGTAACTTCAATGTGTAAATTACTGCCTGCGACATAAGTGTGATTGAAAGCAGTGTTTGGTTTCGTCGTTGATATTGTAAAGAAAATAGCAGAAGTGGTTTCTTTAGAGATAGATGACACTGACATATTAAACAGTACAAGAGTAGCCAATATTAATAGAGAGAGTGAGCGACCGAAAGCTATTATAGCAAAACTACGGAGCACCCGATGTCGTGACGAATACATTTCAGCAGTAACACGCTATAACAAATCTCATCCAAAAGAGAAACTCTGCTCCTCTCTATTGGGAATAGCCGGCAACAACGTCCCAGTCTACGTGTCGGAGCACCTTTCCCCAACTAACAAGTCTCTTCATGCTGCCACCAGGGCCAAGACTAAGGATTTGTCTTACAAATTTGTGTGGGTACGAAATGGGCGAATTTTTATGCGTCAAAATGAAACTTCTCCTTTTATTTATGTCAAAAATGAGAATACATTAAAAGCCTTGACATAATGTTAATTTACTTATCTTTTTTGTTTTTTTTACATGAATAATATTTTATGCAATTTTTATGTTATTTTAAATGGATGAATTATCAATTTATTTTCAAAATGTAAGAGGATTAAAAACAAAAACAATCGATTTTATGAATTCTGTAATGATAAGTAATTATGACGTAATATGCATGTGTGAAACTTGGCTTGACGACTCTGTAGCTTCAACAGAATTATTCGATCAAAGATATACTATTTATCGTAGAGATAGATCACAAAATTTCATGAAGAAATATAATAAATCGCGCGGTGGAGGGGTGCTCATAGCAATTAAAAAAGTTATTTAAGTTTTGAAAGATATGGATACGAGGATATATGGGTTAGCATTCGCTTTAAGAATGTTCTTTTTAATCTTTGTACTGTCTATTTGCCGTCATATTTATCTGTTGATGATTTTCGGGTGTTTCTTGACAGTTGTGAAAACGTGGTCCTATTTTCTAGTAGCGGCAAGACGCTAATTGTAGGAGACTTTAATATGCCTGCTGTTGATTGGTCGGACCCTTTCTCTATTGATGCTGCCAAATGCCAAAACCTCGTATTTGAAGCATTTTCTTCTGAGAACGAATCTAAATCAGCATAACTCTGTGCTGAACTGTAACAATAGGATTCTAGATCTCGTATTGAGCCAGCCGAACACCCACTGTAAAGTCAGTGAGTCACAAGCACTGAGTCGGCTTGATGATCATCATCCATCATTAGACATTACTGTAAAAATTGACAAAACACCTGTACTGAAGCAGAGAGACGAAACAAGATATGCATTTAAAAAGACAGATATTGCACACTGCATCGCGGATTGATTTAAATTGTGATGAACTTTTAGGGGTGCTATAGGAACACTTGTGGAATTGCATTGAAAGGCATACCCCAAAAACGAAAACAAAGAAGTCTTATCCCCCATGGTTTACGCGCTCATTGCTCAAGATTTTAAAGGAAAAAGAAAAATACCATAAAAAATTTAAAAGATTTGGCAATCCGCGGGATTTTGACGTTTTTTCAATGCTAAGATCTAGGGCTAAAGCAACTTACGGTAATTGTTTTAAAAATTATATATCTAAACTTGAAGGTAGCTTGAAAAATAACATTAAGTTGTTTTGGAGATATGCTAAATCTAAGAAAAGCACAAATGACCTACCAAAACAAATGTCTTATGGTTGTGATTTTGCTGACAACGGTTGCGACATAGCCAATCTATTTGTGAAACACTTTTCGTCAGTGTATAGTGAGCCTTCCACAAACACGTACACACCCGACTTTCCTGAGCCAAGTATGACTATTGCACCATTTATCATTACATACAGTGAAATAGAATTGACTTTGAAAGCATTGGACGTGTCAAAGGGCCCAGGATCGGATGGCATCCCCCCTAATTTTTTTGAGAGCGTGCGCGGAAACTTTAGTTGAGCCTCTGCACATATTATTTAACAAAGTCTCAACACTTGTGTTTTTCCAGCGTCTTGAAAAACGGCTTTAGTAATCCCCATACATAAGTCTGGAAGCAAATCTGACGTGACCAACTATAGACCAATTAGTATCCTGTGTTGTTTTTCTAAAATCTTAAATAACCACATGAAACATTTAATTAGCCCCAGACAGCATGGTTTCGTGAAGGGGCGCACTACTGCCTCAAATCTTTAATGTTACGTACATTACCTGAATACCACTCTCAATAAACGAATACAGGTTGATTCACTGTACACAGTACAGTGAATTCGCTAAGGCATTCGATAAGGTGGATCACAAAATATTGATTCGTAAAGCATACCACCTCGGCATACACGGCTCGTTTCTGCGTTGGCTGACTTCATACTTAAGTATTCGAACTCAAATCGTCAAAGTGTACGGATATGAATCTGTGCCGTTCACGCTTAGATCCGGTGTACCACAGGGATCCAACCTTGGACCTCTGTTGTTTGTGTTGTTTATCAACGATTTGGTTAACTTGATTTCAGGCAATTGCCTTGCCTATGCCGATGACATAAAAATTTACAGAGTAATAAGATCTAAGGATGATTGTGAGACATTGCAAAGTAACATCAACTGTTTGTACAACTGGTGTTTAAATAACAACATGACGCTAAATATATCAAAATGTGCTGTTATATCTTTTACGAAAAATAAACGACCTATACACAACACTTTCATTATCGATGATAAACCATTGAGCAGACTCGACGTTGTTAGGGATCTCGGGATACTACTGGACAGCAAACTATCGTTCACTAGACACTATGACTATATTGTTTCAAAAGCTAATAAGCTCATGGGATACATATTTAGAATAACAAAACCTTTTAGAAGACCTTCGAGAATATTAACCCTTTATTTCGCACTGATTAGAAGTACACTCGAATCTTGTTCAGTGGTATGGTCGCCATTCTACAACATCCACATAGATAGAATAGAGGCTATTCAAAGGCGATTTCTTCGATATTTAAGCGCCAAGTTCGGTATGAGGCGTAAGTTGGGCACATACGAGGCTAGGCTTGAGTATTTTAATATGAGCACCCTTCAATCCAGGCGAGACATAGCGAATTTATCGACACTTTACAAAATTGTAAACTCTGTTTGGGACGTGGAGGATCTGTTGAGCCGTTTTTCATTCAAAGTGGGAGGAAGTAAAAGGTTGCAGAAACTTTTTTCCGTACCAACTTGTAGTAATAATGTTACCTACAATGACCCATTATATAGAATGAGAAGAGCCCTTAATGAAATAGCCAAAGACGTGGATATCTTTGCCATTTCCCACTCCTCCTACTTACAAATATGCAGGAGCAAATTGTAATTAAATTGATTTTTATTATTATTTATAATTCTTGATTAGTACATACATATTTAATTATTTCTTTTTTTAATTGTAATTGCATATTCCATTATTATAATAATTATTTTTTCAAAATTGAGAGCTAAAATTAAGCAAATGTCGTGTTCAGCATCAATTGGGGTGCAAGTTTATGTAATACAATAATTTTGTATAATAATATGTAAGTTATAATTTGTACTCTGTCGCTGTACCATAAATAAATAAATAAATGGTGACAATATCAAATCTTATAATTTCAGACAAAAATGCTTGGGTTTAAACTGTTCCAATACTTCCCAGCAGGATTTTTCTATAATTTTGGTGAAGATGAATTTTGTATTGACACCATAACAATATTTTGTAAATATTGTTACATAATTATTTACTTAACACTGTGAAGATTGTTTTCACAGTTTTACTCCACAGCTAAAAAAAATTAATTAACTGGTGGTAGGGAAAAAATATGTACAATTCAAAAGATATTTGTTTCTTAGGTTTTCACGCACATCACTCTGACGATGCAGACCTGAAAAGGCTGCGAAACGTCAATAAATAAATAAAGTTTCGTGCATTAACCCGTAAAAACTAGTTTTATTCAATTCAAAAGAGTTGTATTTCGATCCAATTTAAATAAAGATATATAATATTTTGACTTTTGACTTTCGCGTTATCATGATAATGTGGCCGAGGCATGATCGTCTCATGCCTCTCCCAAATCTGCACAACAAAGGTTTCATACTAAATGCACTAAAATTAGAGTGCGATATTTGAATTACTTCTATTGTTGGTACGCTCCTTCCACTGCACATACACATTTATCCTCTCCAGTAATATAAAAACATCAAAGAGCGTTCTGTCCCGCTCACTTCTACTGCCTATCTTTCATCTCCCTTATCATTAACCGAGTTTGATGCGATAACATCATAAGATGCATATGGATCCCAATGTAAATACACATTGCCTTTGATATTACTATACAGAATTCTCGCAACATTCAAGAAATGCTGACTAGCAGTGGCTGAATGCAAACAGGGTTATAATATGTTACTCATCGCTTTTGGTAGCGATTAGAAGGATGCATATTAAACGTGAAAACATACATTTTACAACCCACAATCTCTTTCTTTTTCTTTTATGTTTGAAGATGTTACTCACACGTCGCTTTCTCATGCAATTAGAAGGATACATATCAAATGTGAGAAAATTCATATTCAAACGCGCAATGTCTTTCGCCTTTACTATATTTATATGCTTGCTCCAATCAAAAATCAAATTATGATTCAAAGACTCACTGTGACATCTGTACTGGCTCAAAAACTAATCAGGGTGGGGTTGTGTTATGTATAAACTATAGAGAACTATTGGACACAATTTCATATGCACAAACCTTTATTACGTAGTAAAAATTAAAGATCAATTGAGCGGTATGACATTAAT